GAATCTAGGTTGTGAAGAAATTATTATGAAGGAGGAAAATGTGGCCTTTTTTTTTTTTTTTTGGTATTCATATTGACATCTAGAAATAAAGTTTTGGTGCATCATACGAATTAAAAATTTAGCATATCCGTCCAATTATTTTGTGACATGTAAATAAAAATATTATTATTTATTTTTCAAATAATATAATATTTTTTTATCCATATATCATAAAAAAAAATACACTGAATTCAATGGATGTGTGATGTACTAAAATTTATTCCACATCGAGGTATATATACATTTGCCACGAAGTTAGTGTTAGCCATCAAGTAGTAGTCTTTTATCGTTGACTTCATATTTATCTGATATTGTCATCTAGATTCTTGGGATTTTTTTTTTGGAAAATGCATTTGTCATGTTTACATGACAAATAAATAGTTGTTATGATAAGAAAAAGATAAATTATATAATATTAAAAAAGTGAGAGAACACGTTATTCAATAAATTTATCTTATCTTTTTTTTAACATAACAACTATTCATTTATCATGTAACATACAAATACATTTCTCTTCTTCTTTTTTTGGTTTTGACAGGTTTTTTTGGTATTTCATGATAGGTTTTTTTTTGGTATTTCACGATATTGGACAGATTAACGGGTCTTATTTTGGTATTTCACGATGTTTGACGGATTGACGGATTTTTTTTTGGTATTTCATGATAGGTTTTTTTGGTATTTCAAGATGTTGGACGGATTGACGGGTTTTTTTTTTTTTTTTTTTTCGGTATTTCATTATTTTTGGTTCATATTGACATCTAGTTATATATACATTTGAAGGTTATATATTTTCCTTCAACACTGAACTTGCCATCAAAGTAGTGAATTAGCTTATGTGGCCTTATTTGAAGAGATTATTGTTGCCATCAACAAGGAAGTAAAAAAAGGAAGGGTCGGGTCCGATACGCTCTGACACGGCGACACGCTCTGACACGCTCCGACACGGTGTCGGACACGCGGTTGACTTTTTCCGACACGTTGACCATTCCGACACGCGAATTTGACCATGTCCGACACGGTCAAATGACATTTTCGTAATTTTTTAATTTTTTTTTTTAAATATTTTTTTTTAAAAAGTTAAAATATATTAATAAAGCTTCTACCTGATCATATCAATTTTATCTTTTTGTCTTTTTTTCCCTTAAGTAGATAAGAGATCATCTCAGCATCATTGTTGTCAATTCCTATCACGCTCTTATTGTATCTTCTTCTCTCTGATTTCTCTCTAATATGATTTGATCTCTCTATCTGATATTATCTCTCTCATCCCAGTTCTTATTTTTTTTATTAAAGCTTCCATCTTTATAACGTGTCGATGGGTATTATTAATATAGTTTCATTTTTTTTTAAATTATTAAATATTAAATGAAATATACACTATATAAATTAAAAATATTATTTAATATTAAAACGTGTCCTAACGTGTCGAAATCCATAATTTTTTAGGATTGACGTGTCGGAGTGTCGTGTCGTGTCATGTGTCGCGTGTCGTATCGGTGCTACGTAGGCCATCAACAGTACTTATGCCTATTTGTTGATTTCGTTCGTCAAAGTGGTGTTATGCGTAGCGTTGGCAGCTTATTTGGGGCCTTATTTGAAGAGATTGTTGTTGATTTCGTCGTTACTGTCTGATATTGCCAATGTGCCATCAAAGTAGTGTTAGCCATCAAATAGTCTTTTTTCGCGTATCAAAGTAGCGTTAGCTTTTATCCAATAAAAAAAGAGAGTAGTGTTAGCTTATGCCTATTTGTTGATTTCGTTTATCAAAGTAGTGCTTATGCATATTTGTTGACTTCGTACATCAAAATCGTGTTATGCAGCGTATTAGCAGAGACTGTTGTTGATTTCGTCGTTACTGTCTGAAATTGACATATTGGTAGGTTCAATTTTTTTTGTTGTTGGTATTCATAAGATGTCGTTTTCAATGTCTGAAAATCGAAATGGGTGCGTTCCATTCTGTCTCCTTTTTTTTGGCTTCCACTAGTTGTTATAAATGCATTTGCAGCTTATATATTTTACTTCAACACTGAAGGTGCCATCCAGAGTCTTTTATGGTCGTCTCTAAGGAGGACAGACATAACACCACAGATTCGGACACCGTCGTCTCAAAATATGAGAGACAACAGCACGACCATAACACCACAGATTCAGACACCGGGGTACGTATCCTAATACTTCATCTTTTTATTTTTATTTTTTACTGTCGCCGGAGTTCTTTAAACAAATTATAATATGTGCTGTAGTCATATCACAGCACAACTATAACTTTGTTATTCACAGTTACTACTGTTACAACATATGACAGCCCAGATTCCCCCTCCTTCTTCTTTTTTCAACGTGGGACAAATTTCCTCTTCAAGTTTCCAACTTCACGGTTCCTTGGAGTCAGATCAGAGATAAGAGTGAGAGTGGGGGAATGTTTACCATCTCCGCAGCCTCAGACAAGGAGCAATATCCTTGTAGGACGCTGCGGATGGGCTGTACTGTACTATGATATGTTGGAATTGTGAATAAGAACCGTGTCTGTGCTCTATATGTTGGAACCGTGGAGTTGGAAAGTTGAAGAGGTACATTTGGGAAATAAGTCGAGGAGAAGATCGGTTTATGAGACCCTCCTCACTTTTACTATATGAGGATATTCTCTATGCATTTGTATGAGAACCTAACTTTTGTGAAGGAGAGGAGAGGGTATTGTCTGTGGTTTACTTTTACTATATGAACAATCCATGTGATATTCTTATAGGTATTTGGGCTTCCTTCCACAGCTAATAGGCCTGCTCTGCAGCTCTGGTATGGGAGCCCATTACAGTTTATAAGATTAGCAGTTTGTAAAGTATGAAAAATATTAATTTAATTATTGAATATATGACGTGTAAAACAAGAGCTATTTGAGAAACATTAGTTGGTATGTTTGATTGTGTTGTCGTTTTTTTGTTTTTAAAACTTTTTTTTTAGAATAATTAATAAAATGTGTGTTTTCTATATATTTTTTGTTTTGGAAATTAAGAGTTAAAATAAAAAAAAAAATGATTCAGATATGTTTTTTAAATTTGATTTTAAAAAAAAAAGAACGGTTACAATTTTTATTATTTTTTTTATAAAACAGATAGGTTTGGTGTTTAACTTTTTAAAAGATATAGAATATGTCATTTTAAGTGAGATAAAGATACAAGTAATGAAAATCATATGAGAGAAAATAAGTATTTTTTGTAAATTTATTTTTAAATAAAAAACACTAATTTATGTTTTTCTCTCACTTAAAATAACATAACTCTATATCATTTAAAAGGGACAAATATTTTTCTCAAACATATATTATAAAACGGTTTTTTTTTTTTTTTTTAATTCTGAAAATCAAAAAACTATTTTTCAAAATAGATTTCAATCATGCTATTTATACCCTTTATTTATTGTTTTTACCGGAACACACACTTGAAAACAAAAAATAAATTGGACCCCTTCTTTTTCAATTTTATTTATTGACGTTGTTTTAAAAAAAAAATTGTTTGCAGTTCTGGTGTTTTTCTCCATGCAGTGATTGCTGTCTACGGATCAGTAATTGCACTATTGGTTGGTGTGAATGGAATTAAATATGAAGGTTTAAGTACCCATCCTTATCGAGAACCAGGCATAATCATGTTACTTTTCCTTATAGCTATATTGGCTCATGCCATTGCTACGGTTGCAATAATAATCCTTCAAAGAGATGAAGCATGGCCAGCTAATATTATCCTTCATTTTTCTGGATTACTTGCCATTGAGACACTTCTCTGGACCCTCCTCGTTGCATTCCGGTTGTGGATCATCTTCAATGGTATTATGTCAGTGGCAATAGCAATATGTTTCTACAAATATATATGTGTTTTCCTCAATAATCAGCTACGTACATGTCGTACATGTTTTCTACGGATTACTGAAATTGCAAGAAGATTCGCAGAAAGGTACCGATGCTCAAATAATTCTTTTTTTGACCTGTACGTGAGTACGTCATTTATTCAATCATTACACTTAACATTTTTCATCCTTCACAGACTGCGCAGGTGATATACAAATTGTAATGGGCTCTCATACCAGAGCAGACCCATTATCTGTGAAAGGAAACCCAAACACTTAAGGTATATCACATATAGTGGCCCAATCCGATGTTGTCATTTTATTGCACTAGGAAGCTATACGTAACGAGTGTGTTCAGTTATTTCAGTTTCGGTTATTCAACAGTTGCAAGCAACCTGTGGTGGCCCAATCAATTGGCAATAAGGTATAGAACATAGATGCTCAAACGGAAGATGTAGAAAACAAAAGCAACAAAATAGACAGTTTTCAAAATAGACATTTCATATGTACCTTACAATTTAGCTTTTTCTTTTTTTACTTTTTCATTTGGTTAGCTTTTGGTCACTGTAACTTCGAGACTTTTCCATGTTCTAAGACTGTTTTGCTTTACAGACCCATTCTTCATTTCACTGTTAATGGAAAGATTTCTTCTCGTTCTCTGTTCTTCGTTATAAGAGGAAGCTATACGTAATGAGTGTGTTCAAATTTCGGTTATTCAACAGTTGCAAGCAAGTGGCCCAATCAATTGGCAACAAGGGATATATAGATGCTCAAACGGAAGATGTAGAAAACAAAACAACAGATGTAATTGAACCCGTTCAAGCACAGATGTAAATTAGAATACTCATTAACCAATTAATTTTAAAATACAAAACTAATTAATTAATATACCGACATAGATAAATTTCCTACATTTATTCCTTATTCAATAAGTTTTACTTATCAAGCAATTATGAGTTTAAATAATAAATACTTGTATTGGTAAATTATTAGAGTTAGGAAAATAAATAAAAAGGGTGACATGGGTGAGAAAGAGAGATATAAATAATAGTGGTCTGTTGTCATTTGTGATATAGTCACGTGCGATTTGATTTTATTGATTTGGTTATACGTTTTTTCCCGTGTGTATATATAAAACTATAAAAGTAACATTTCCCAACAATGAGCAATATACATAATTCTGCAGCCATGTATCTTGTACATTTCATTGGCTAGTGAATACAAGTAGCAGCAGTTCAACAAATGCAATTTACACCACCATTTTGTCAAAACTCTATAGTGTATGATCTGATTTCTGAAGTCCCGGAATGCAATTTACATCAGCATGGTGTACTTTCATGGCAGCAAATAAATATATTTCAGACATGATTTGTGTTTCATCAAGAATTAATATAAAGATCACCACGGCTGAAAGTCACCTCAACAATGTATTGACACTACTCTGCAACAGTTAAGGAAAGGCCTAACAATCTGATTTTGAATTTGCTGCTTACTTAAAACCAATGGCTGTACCCAATATGAACTTGTGCGAACAAAAACCATGGAAATGGTAGCATTCCGCATGCTGTTAGATGCTTTTACTACCATTTGGCTCCTTATGTTGCCATTAATTGTTCTTTCTGGATGAGCTACCACCACTTCAGGTACTTGCAGCAGATTAGAGTGAGAAGCACTGAGTTTCTCTTTCTTATAAATCCTCTCCAAACTCTGGACTGGTACTTTGTCACCATCAAATTTTTTATCTACCTGAGATACTTCTTCTGAACCATTTAGAATTCTGTTGGCTTCTGTAAGTAAACCAATGGCACGCCAAGCATCAGCAACCAGTTGAATAGTGGACGTTTCCGGAGCAACATCCCTCTCTTCCATTGTAATAAGTAACTCTTCTGCTTTCCATGGTTGTTTTGCTTCTCCATACCCCCACATTAAAGTTTCATAAGTTTTCAAATTTGCGGGAGTTCCCATTTCATGCATTTTCCCATAAAGTCTAATAGCACGATCCATTTTGCCTGCAGCACACCATCCACTGATGATGGTGGTGAAGATCACTACATTTGGTTGTACACCAAATTTGGTCATGGAAGTCAGAAGAGCCTCTGCTTTTAGTGGCTGTCCAGCACGCACATAGCCTTTTGCAAGGATGCTATAAGCATGGATGTCAGGTTCTATCCCAGCCTTTACCATGTCATTGAATATCTCCTCACAATTGTTCATAAGCCCTGCTGAACTCCATGCATTCATGATGGTGCTGAATGTCACTACATCTGGTTTGATCCCAAATTCTTCCATCAATGTCATTGCCTGACCAATTTTCATTTATAAGTTACTATTTTTATCACAATACTGGATACTGAATAATTACAGGATACAAGCACAAAATAAGATGCAACAAATGGTTCCTGTCTTAGGTTATTAATCTTCATTTTGTGTTAATGCTCCTTCAGTGCATCACAGCAGTGGGAAAAATAATGCATACAAGAAAATATTGATCTTATGAAAAGTATCAGATATCAGAACTCACTTCATCCACTCCGCTTGTGTCTGTCATGTCTAAATATCCTTTGATGAGAGAGTTGAAAACTACTGGATTTGGGTGTACTCCAAGCTCCTTCATTTTGTATAGAAACCTCAGGGCATCTGTCATATTTCCTTCCTTACAATAACCGCTTATTATGATACCACAAGTTCGTTCATTAGGCCTCACCTTGTTGTACTGCATTTTCAATATTAACCTTTCTGCTTTATCTGTCTCACCATTCTGAGCATATGCCCTTGCCAGTGTGTTGTATGTGACAACATCAGGCTGCAAGCCAGAGGCCACCATTTTATGCACAACATTCCACGCCTCTTCCAGTTCCTTCTCGGTACACCAAGCTTGGATGAGAATATTATATGTTCTCTCATTGGGTTTGACATTTTCTTCCTGATCCATCATATCTAGCAATTTCATAGATTCGTAAGGCCTTCCAGCAATTCCAAATCCTTTAATGAGGGTATTAAATGTACTAGTTGTAGGTTTACACCCATACTGCTTCATTTTCTGAAAGATGTTCATGGCTTCATCTAGCTTGCCAGAATCAGAAAAGGCATTGATCATGGCATTGAAAAGTATTGAATCAGGCTTCATTCCATTCTCTTCAACTTTAGAAAGAAGTAAAGGAATGGACTTGAAACGCTTTTGGCGGGTTAGGGCAGCCACAAGAGTTGTGTATGTTATAAGCGTGGGCCTATGTCCTTCTTCAGTCAAATTGTTGAAGATGGCCTGAGCTTCCTGTGGCTTCCCTTTTCCAATCAAAGTATTCATCAGTTTTGTTCTTGAATGAACTGTTTGACAACTTTTGTTCCCCATACAGATAAGGCAGCGGGATTGATTAAATGTCTCTTTTGGGGTAGACCTTATTTTTGATTGGTTGCTCTTGTATTGACGCAGTTCCTGTTTCGGAGTTGCCAAAATGTTGAAAATTATAGGGAAAGTATCAATACATTTGATGGTTATCTTTTAACACGACAGTTGTAAGGATACAATACATTAATCAAATATTAAATAATTTTTTAGGCCTTAAATTATATTAGCTGAACTATTCACTGGGAAGATGTCATAATCATGTAATGATTAGAAATTTAATGTTTCAACATTCGCTTGACATTACTAAGATGAACTGGAGTTACTATAGGATCTCAAGGCATTTAGATTAAGATCATCCTAAAGTTCCTGAAAGAACCTGATGTTGATCTTTATCAGTCTTATGCTCATTCGGTAACAGATTTCACTTAAATGGTTAAATGGCAATCAAAGGAAACTCTCATTCAGATCATCATTATAATTCAACGTAGTCTGGTTGGCCCCTCCCTATTAGTTTCAAATGTCACTTACTATAGTGGATAGCTCAAACAGCCATAAAGTCCAGACTAATACAAGAGTGATTATTTAATGAAAACATGTATCTTATAAGCATGAGTCAGACAGGTGCACATACTGATTTCACTAGAGGACCATATATTATACTAAACAAAAATCTATATTGTTAGTCTGACATTGCAATTCAAGTAGATAACTAAATTGTTCTGCCATAATTTGGATTTATGTTATCATTTTTATGATAAAATATAGGTGAAGTTTTTCTTAGTACTCTGCATGTTAGTCAGCTAAAATATAGCGTTGTTAAGATCAAAGAATTCAAGAATGAACAACACGAGATTGTACGAGCAAGTAATAGATTTCTATATGTCCAACATCATAGGGATAATTAAGCCTAATTACAGGATATAGCTAATGTAAAAAACTGTGCATATGATTTCTGACATCATTATGAGAAAAAAGTTAAATAGTTCACAATACCATGACTAATAAATCTTTAACACCTTCATTACTCATGAGGGCCCCCTTCTGGCTGCTATCTATAATGATGAATAGACTCGATCAGATTCTCAGAAATCTATGTTGGCTGCTTCCGAAAGCCTCAGCAAACTACCTTCAGATTCTGGCCACAAGACCCAGCAACATTGTTAGCTATTATGCTAGCATCATAAGAAGATGCCCCGTCCTGGATTTTTCTATCAAGACTACATAAGAGTATCATCCAGAGAAGGCTATCATCAAATAGCGTATTTAAAAGGACAACGATCATCAAAAGAACCCATGGCATTAATCTATAAATGACTAAACAAATCTTGGACAAGATGAAGATTAGTTCATATAAACTCTTTCTTGTTGCTCCATAGAGGCTCCAACTGATTAAGAGTTCTAAATGCATCTTACTGTCAAAGCATTTGCAGCAAGGAGAATCTGTGCTAGTGTGTACTTTTACATGGTCATGGGAAACTCCAAGTTGTTTGGAGAAAATAGATCAATTATGCCACAAAAATCCATAGACATTCTACATACTCATCCACATTAGCTCTAGAAATCTACATTTTATTAATAAACTAGTCTAATAAACAAAAACAGGCAGAAACAAAATCCATAGCTCGGCATTAACATGTTTGGGGTGAGAATTTCAGAAGCTGAACTTAGAACTGGATCACGGGAAGCATGACAGCATTTTTCTATCTCGCTCATTTGCTATTCATAGCAACAATATTACAAAATGAACAAAGGAATCATCCAATTGTTACTTAACAAAGCAAGGACTAAAGAGCAAAAATATCAATTAGAATCATTAGATGATTATGTCAGCTTTCAGCCCTGCATTGTAAACCAAAGACAGAGACCTCTCACCTCTGATGATAGAAAAGAGTATGAATTCCCAAATTGATCATAGAAGCTCCAAAAAACTGGAAAAATTTTCCAAACATCTCAGACCAAGTTTTAACAATAACCATAGTGTCCCAACAAATAATTAAACCAAACTGAAAACAGATCCAAACCAAAATCCAAATCCAACAGTGGTATCTAAGTTTGATCGTTCTGATCAACATCTAAATTTGGCATTGAAATACACACTATAAAGACTCAGAAACAAACTATGATATATACTGCATAGTTGATAACATTCGGGTAATGTTCACAATTGTTTGGAAACAAGTTGAAGCAGAGGAATAGGTACCTCAGTTGAGGAGCTTCTGGGGATAGTTGGGTCTGCATAGTTAGCAGCGAAGTTATGCTGCATGCAATGTAATGAATGCAGCAGAACCAATCATGGACTAGTGGGTTTCGTGTGTGAGTATGTGGCATACACACGGGAGATTCTTATCCACAAACATTTATCGTAATAAGATTTCGGGGTACTTTTTTGAGGCTGTCATAAGAAAACGACAAATACATGAGAAGATCACTTAAGAAGTGGATTAGGCCACGCCAGCATTCTATTGGCAAGAGCAAGATCACAATTTACCACGTATTTTTTTGTTCTCCACAAGTAATGTACCATATTAGCCTCAGTGGAAAGTTTTTTGATGTTGTGAGGTACTGCATGCTGAATAATATCAGGCTTGTTTTCCCATATAATTTTTTATAAATCATATGAATATTTCACGAAAAATAATTTTGTTCGATCCAAAAGTAGTCACATTACGGTAGGTTTAATTTTTCCAAAATATTTTTTTTTTATATTTAACCATAGATGACCAAGAAAAAAATGTTTGACAATACTTATCACTTTTGGTACTTGATAATATTTATGCAGATTATCTTTTCCTTTATTTTAATTTTAATTTTAATTCATTTTGACATTTATTTTAGAGATTTGCATTCATCATGTAACATGACACCAAAAAATGTCCCACATACAATATTTTGTGGGGCCCGCATCTTATGAAGCAAAATAAAAAAGTAAGATACGCAAAACGAATCTCTATAATATTACACAATCACTTTTCTTACAACATAACTATTAGGGGGCGTTTGGTTGAGGAAATTTTTTATGAATGATTGGGAAATGATATTCATAGGAAAATGGTAGGAAATGATAGGAAAGTGAGTTTGGTAGGAAAATATAAAAAAAAGTTGTTTGGTAGGAAAAAATTTAACTAGGAAAATTAGGTAACTTTTATAAAGTATATGTTTGGTTGTAGGTAAAATATAGATGGGAAAAAAAAAAAACAACCAACAAAATCCCAAATAGCCATGCAAATGGGGGGAATACCACATCTAAAGTGGGAATATTTGTCCATCAATTTTGATCCAAATAGCCATGCAAATGGGATACCTAGCAAACTCATTTAGGTGGGCAAATTTGAAAGCTTGTCAACCAAACATGGGCACCCAATTTCCCCACTTCACATTTCCCTATCATTCTCTTCAAAAACCTTCAACCAAACACCCCCTTATAAAACTCTTTATTTCAAGGGAAAAGCAAAGGCGAGGAAAAAAATATTTCCTCGTACTCTCATATCATTTTCTTTGTAATATTTTTTATTTGATATTTTTTTCTAATATTTGGCGGACTCTACCAAAGCATGTATGTGTAACATAATATTATCAATTTTTCTGTTACAAGACATTTACAAAACCCTTATTTTAATGTCTCTTTTTCATAAAAAATTTTAGTTGGTGCAAAATTTTAAATTATTAAATAATTTTTATGCTGTTCCCCCGCAGATGTGTTGTTACATTTTGTCACGTTAGATGTTTAATCTGCAATTTTTCGAAACAAATTACACAAAATTATTACTTATATAAATATATTTTTTATATATTTTTTTAAATCAAATCAATTGATAGATTATTTGAATATTTAAGTTTAACTACTATCGAATTTATATTATGGGTAACTCTTTTAAGAACTTTTTATTTATTTATTTCTAAGACTCAAATTTTGGTTAATAAAATAAGCTTCTTACAACTTGAGCCAATGACTACTAATAGAAAAAATTATAAACTTCAAGGATTTTTTTTTTTAAAGTGTCTTTGTATGATTTACACTCAAACATAAAAAATACAAGTGAACCCCTATTCAAAAAATAAATTGCTAGTGAAGCCAAGCCCAACAAGAGAGAGACACACACATGAAGATTAAACATGTATGTATAAAGCCCAAAGCCAGTTTTAACTGCAATACTGAGAGGCCTGTTCCCCAAAATCTGCAACATTTTTTACCTGCATATTGTTTTCCAAACCTCATCTTATGTTGTTACCTCATAGTCATAGTCATTTAGTACGAGCGTAAGTAACAAGATGCTGAAGCTATGGAACTGGTACCAGAATTGCCTTTCTGTTCATCCAGTGAAGACCCAAGTGATAAGCTCTGGCGTCCTCTGGGGCGTTGGAGACGTTGCTGCTCAGTACATCACTCACTCAGCTGCAAAAAAGCGTCTTCAACTATCTGTAAGAATAACCTTCACAACCCAATAATTCCCTCTTCCTCTCTTTCATCTTTCTTTTGAAGAATAAGGCCATCTCTTTCCAATTTTTAGTAATCACTCCCATCTGTTATGTTTGATTTGGCAGGATGCTGATTCTAAATTTATTATCAACTGGAACCGCGTGGCTGTTACAAGCATGTTTGGATTCGGTTTTGTTGGACCAGTTGGCCACTTCTGGTATGTGTTTTTTTTTTTTTTTTTTCCCATAATCTTGTAATTTACCTGTGAAGAAATTCTTCAATATCATGTCAGTAAGATAGATTTTAGTTTGCCAAGTATTGGAGCATGCATGATTTTTTTATTTTTTTATGTGGGGTTTCTGTAAATCAGTTTGTTACAGCATGAGACTGCACCCAATTTATGAGACATGTGGTCTATGTTTCACAGACACTTAACATGGGACACGACACAACACTTCGACGTATTAATTCTAAAAAATATTAGATTTTGACGTGTTAAAATATATTGTGATATTAAATAATATTTTTAATTTATACAGTGGATATTATATTTAATATTTAATAATTTAATAAAAACTGAAGATAAACTTATAATACTCATTGATTTTGCAAAGAAACATAAAATATCATAAATATTTATATTAAACTCAATAAAATGATAATCGTAATTCAACGATTATAACAGTTGTAACTAAAAACGAATGCAATTCTTGAAATCTTTTTTAAGTTTCTACAACACGTGTTGGAGTGTAGGAGATACACATCAGATTTTTTGTAGTATCGGTGCAAGATAGCATGCGGTCATGGACATTGGCTTGTGATTTTTTCTGTAGTAAGTGCATCATGTTTAGGAAACCCCTCCTTCTGTAATTGTTTATGCTTTTAGTTGGTAGGTCCTTCTTGGAATGGGGAAAAAGCATAGAAATCGACGTTAGGCTTGGATTCCAGTTTGGCTAAAATGTTGGCTTCATAGCTGCTGTGAGGACCTTTTGAGTCATGAGAATTACTTGGGAAGTTTTTTCTCGAACGTATATATGAGGATAGATTATGAACTATGAAGTGAATTAAAAAGGTTAGAAACAAGGGGGTATATATCATTGACAGATGCCTAAATAGGGAGAAGAAATTTTTAATCAAATATTTATATCATTTAGAGGCAATTTGTTGATCATATCATGTCAGCTACAAAGTACCTGTTTTTCTGATTTGGAAAACCTGAATGCACTTGAACCGATTAGGACCCATGTAACTGTTGCCTCTGTTAACTCTTTCTTGGATCTTAACTTCACATGAATATTTGATTTTTTTTAAAAGGTAATTGTAATTTCAGAAGACTTTGGGGTATGCACTGAGATAGCTTGCAAGTTGATAGCTCCGGGATTTCAAGATTGAGAAAAAGTGACGTTCATTTTTACTAAGAACTAATAAGCTTAAAGAACATTTTTTCGGAAAATAGTTACAAGCTAAGTTATAATTCCTGCTGCTTAAGAATGTGTACTCACTTGGAACCAACCTTCATCATGTCTTGAAGGTATGAAGGCTTGGACAAATTTATAAGGCTAAAGCTTCAACTAATGCCAAAGTCTGCTCGATCGGTAGCTACTAAAGTGGCAATGGATGGCATGATTTTTGGTCCCATCCATTTGTTTGTGTTCTTTACTTACATGGGATTGTGCGCTGGCAAGACTCTTCCTCAAGTGAAGGAGGACTTGAAGAAAAATTATGTCCCAGCCTTGATTTTAGAAGGTGGTGTGTGGCCAGTTTTGCAGGTTTTTAATTTTCGGTATATTCCTTTGAAATACCAGCTTCTCTATGTAAACTTTTTCTGCTTGCTGGATAGTGCTTTTCTCTCATGGTTGGAGCAACAGAAGGATGCACCTTGGAAACAATGGTTTGCTTCTTTTCATTCTTCGAATGATAAAGGAGGTCAATGCTGATGAGGAGATTGATGGAACTTTAAACATTGATTGATTAAAGCCTTGGAATATTTTGCTTCCCTGATGTTTTGAAATTTGTCATAGATAAATAGACTTGGAGTTAATTGTTGCAATTCTTTTAACATAGTTTTAAGTAGAAGCAAAGACAGATAAAATTCGATACATCTACAATTTTTGTTCTTTCGATTTACTTGTTGCTTCGAGGTGACACTCCTTTGTGTACATATAATTTGGGCAGTTCAGCGGTTAAGATGTAAATCACCAAAAAACTTGTTCAGCCTATTTATCATTCTCATGCTATACAAGCAATTACAGGATCCATCATTATAAAATTACTTGGGGAAGCATATACTTACTCTCAACAAAATTTACCACATTTACAACCAATCTAATCACCGTTGATTTCTGTCAATTTAACGGTTATAATTTATTGAAAATTAATTTATTAGAGATTATAACCGTTAGATTGACGGGAATCAACGGTGATTAGGTTAGTTGTAAAGGTGGTAAATTTTTTGGGTGGTAAGTATATCATGCCCCAAATTATTTATAGTATACATGAATGACAGATGTTAAAAAAACATAAAATAAAAGTACTCAATATGTTATATATAGGGGAAGATTATAATTATTACCATTTTATCATTAGGTTACCGTTGGATCAATTTAAAATTAATGACAATTGATTTTTTTTATTTTTCGATCGTTGATTTCAAATTGATTCAACGGTGATAGTAAGAGTAATAAGCGTAGAATAGTAGTAAGTATAATAACACTATGTTTATAAATAGAATAGTATTTTTTATAATGACAAACATTTTTTTCTTTATTTAATGTTTATATAAAATATTTTTTTCAGCCAAAATTACTAGTGTTTAATATTTTAATTATAAACCTCGTTTTATACAAAATAAGTTAATGTAAGTACAATATTTTAGATGAAGTTTTAATTTATTCAAGCTTTTTTATCTATAAATATGTAATAAAACTGATTGAAGTTCAATAAATGTCATTATTAAGTTCAAAATTCAAGCTAGTGCTTTATGTCTTTATAATCTCATGATAGGTATATTTCAGTTCTTCTTCTTAAACAAAAAAGAAAAAGAAAAAAGAAAAACTTTATTTCTAAGTGAAGCAATTTAGGGGCTAACGGTAAAAAAAATAAAAATAAAATAATACTATATCACACAAATGAGATTAGTCTCATCCAATTGAGTGTGGACACCTATTGGAAAAAAAAAATTGTATTAATTTTTAAATTGCAGGCTAAGTATAAAAAAAAAAATTATTATTTAATTTGTAACTTTTATTACTCAAACTATATATTTTACATAAAGACTATGATTTAAAAAATAGAAAGGTAATATAATCTCATAATGATTGTATGACTTGAATTTAAATTATGAGTTCTCCATTAATAAATGATATGGTCTAATTTTTAAGGTTTGGTAGCTTGCCCTCATCTTAAAATAAAAAGATAAGAGAGGCACACGATCATCTCGAGAGTGAGAGAGAAACGAGTTTCACAGTTTAGTTTAGACGAAAGAAAGCAGATTCAAATCACTGTCGCTGTGTCTTCTCCGATGTATGTAGCAACTCAACATCACATTTCCAATGAATGCGCTAATAAACCAAACCTCATATGAACCTTCTTCTTCTTGTTCTTGATGTTCTTCATTAACGCAACAAGAAGACAACCATAACCATGGGGATCACCAAACGCAACTCTCTCTCCATTCTTTTCCTATTCATCGCACTCTCTCTCTACCGTTTCCGTTTCCATTTCCAATTCCAAACCCTACCCCCTCCTAATTCCGCCGAACCCCGCCACAACCACAACCACAACCACAACTACAACTACATCGTGCGCTTTCTTGAATACAAGCTCGCCGAGCACCACCGTGCCTACCTGGAATCCAACCTCCGATCCCAAGGCTGGAAGTGGATCGAGCGCCGGAATCCTGCCGCCAACTACCCCACCGATTTCGGGTTAGTTTCGGTTGAGGATTCGGTTAAAGATGGGTTAACCGACGAGATTCGGAATCTTGAACTGGTGAAAGACGTGCATGTGGATATGGGGTATAAGAGGGATCTTCTCAAACACGAATCTTCTTCCTTTGTCGATGTAAAGAAGCGCCCTGGAAAGATATTCACGTCCATGTCGTTTAGCGACTCAGCAAACTACTCTTCGGGGAGGGACCTTTTGATGCAGAGATCTCAAATTACTTCCATGTTTGGAGCGGAGGATCTTTGGGCGAAAGGGTACACTGGTTCTAAAGTCAAAATGGCTATTTTTGATACTGGCATTCGAGCCAATCACCCTCATTTCCGTAACATCAAGGAGCGTACCAATTGGACCAACGAGGATACATTGAATGATAATCTTGGACATGGGACCTTTGTTGCTGGTGTTATCGCTGGTGTAGATGCTGAGTGCCTTGGCTTTGCACCTGATACTGAGATTTATGCATTTCGTGTATTCACTGATGCACAGGTAATGCCTCTTGGATATGTTATTCTTCTTTTCTTTGTCTTTCTCTTTATTGATGTGGGGTTTTAGTTTATTCAATATGCGTGTGTGTGTCTGTGTGTCCAATAAATGCATGATGTACTCATCATTAAGTTTAGTAGCCGAGCAATCATTAGCAAGATCTAAACTGGAGAATGCAGATGTATTTATAATTAAGTTGCGTAGTTTTTGCAATTCTTCAGCTAATAATATTGTTATGCTGTAATATTTTGCAAGATTTTGAGAAGAATTCATTCAGCCTATTGCAGGTTTCGTACACATCATGGTTCCTTGATGCCTTCAACTATGCAATTGCTACCAATATGGATGTGCTAAATTTGAGCATAGGTGGGCCTGATTATTTGGATCTCCCATTTGTTGAGAAGGTAAATTTATTTTGTCTATCTGTTCTAGCTCTGTAATTTGATTGTGTAAAATGTTTGATGTAGTTTGAGGTGGACAGCTACTAAACTGTATTGTTTATGAACATTGTAGTGTTTTTATCTACCATAAACTGTATATCCAAAGACAATTTTTGTTCATACATGGTAAATATTTCTTGCAGTAAACGCAGAAATATCCTTTTAGAGAAATTTATTATGTTAATTTGTTGATCAGATATGGGAGATAACAGCAAATAACATTATCATGGTTTCTGCAATTGGAAATGATGGACCACTTTATGGAACTTTGAACAATCCAGCTGATCAAAGTGATGTCATTGGTGTTGGCGGCATTGACTATAGTGACCATATAGCTTCCTTTTCCTCCCGTGGCATGAGTACCTGGGAGCTTCCTCATGGGTACTGTTTACTTATCTGTTTCTAGTACATCTTTGATTTAATGATCCTTCTCCAACCAGTATTGATTGAATACAAGTCTAATGAGGAGTTTTAGCATTTGTTCTTCGCATGAGTCTTAAATATCATATTGTTGAGGAAAATGTTTTTACTGGATGAAGAATGAATATATATATATATATATATATATATATATATGTTGAGTTCAAAGTCCAAACAACTTAAAACCCATTTAATGTATTCATATCCTCATCTTTTAGTGCTCCTACAGCAAAGAATGGTGATCCCTGAACTTTTTTATAAGTGTACAATGATATGTGGATATGAAATTTTGAAAATCATTTTAACCGAAGTTGGGTTCTGCAACAATTTAGATTTTTCATATTTCTGGCTATAATTGATTTGGTGCTTGCCATTCTTTTTTTTAAGAGATTGACATTCATATGCAAGTTTGGTTCCTTAATTCCGATAGATGTTTAAATTGATATTGACATATGTACTTTTGCAGTTATGGGCGTGTGAAGCCAGATATAGTTGCATATGGACGGGACATAATGGGATCCAAGATTAGTACGGGTTGTAAAAGTTTATCAGGAACTAGTGTTGCAAGTCCTGTAGTTGCTGGTATTGTATGCTTGCTTGTTAGTGTCATCCCTGAACCTGTTCGAAAAGATATCTTGAACCCAGCAAGCATGAAACAAGCATTGGTGGAGGGTGCTGCTAAGCTTGCTGGGCCTAACATGTTTGAGCAGGGTGCTGGCAGAGTTGATTTGTAAGTTCAACTATTTAGCCTGTCCCCTTTGTTTTGTTTTGTTTTGATATGGCAATGGTTGCCTTACCCACTAGTGTTTTTTTGTTTGATTCTATAATCTTTTAATTATATGTTCTTATTTGTTGCTGTAATTGTCAGGTTAGAATCATATGAGATACTTAAGAGTTACAAACCCAGGGCAAGCATCTTCCCCAGTGTCCTTGATTATACAGATTGTCCTTACTCATGGCCCTTTTGTCGTCAACCACTCTATGCAGGTTCTATGCCTGTGATATTTAATGCCACCATTTTGAATGGGATGGGTGTTGTTGGCTATGTTGAAGGTCCACCAACGTGGCAGCCTTGTAGTGAAGAAGGGAATCTTTTAAGCATTCATTTTACATATTCAGAGGTCATCTGGCCTTGGACTGGTTATTTGGCACTTCACATGCAAATCAAGGAAGAAGGAGCTCAATTTTCTGGGAACATTGAAGGTAATGTGACTCTCAGGGTTTTCAGTCCTCCAGTTCAAGGAGAGAAGGACCTTCGAATCAGTATCTGCATGCTTCAATTGAAGTTAAAAGTGGTACCAACACCACCTCGGTCAAAACGAATTTTGTGGGATCAGTTTCATAGTATTAAATACCCACCTGGTTATATTCCAAGAGACTCTTTGGATGTTCGTAATGACATTCTTGACTGGCATGGTGATCATCTGCACACGAATTTTCACATCCTGTTCAACATGCTACGAGATGCTGGTTACTATATTGAAACACTTGGCTCTCCTCTTACATGCTTTGATGCTCGTCAATATGGAACACTTTTGATGGTGGATCTTGAAGATGAATACTTTGCTGAGGAGATTGAAAAACTAAGAGATGATGTTATAAATACTGGATTGGGACTAGTTGTCTTTGCTGAATGGTATAATGTGGATACCATGGTAAAGATGAGATTCTTTGATGACAATACACGGAGCTGGTGGACTCCAGTTACGGGAGGCGCAAATATTCCAGCTCTTAATGATCTTTTGGCTCCATTTGGGATTGCTTTTGGAAATAAGATCCTGAATGGTGATTTTTCACTTTTAGGGGAGCAGAGTCGATATGCTTCTGGAACAGATATAGTGAGGTTTCCGAGAGGTGGTTACGTACACAGCTTTTCTTTATTGGATAGTTCAGAAAGTGGAGCCACTCAGAATGTGCTGCTTACTTCTGACATGACCAAGGTGAGCAGAGAGGGCATCTCTACATATTATTGCATTAGTTATTATTAATATTAAATTAATAGGTTTACAGATGGTGGTCTCTGAAGGAAAAACCATAAAGAGATTTATAATTCCTGAGCTCATTTCTATCCCCGAAAAATAAAAATAAAAATCATGAGCTCATAGGCAGGGTTTTCAACACACCAAAAGATTTACATATATGTAAGTCATTGGGCATGACAAAATTGCAATTTTTATTGTAATAAATAGTCATCACAATGGTTAATTCTCTGCTGGTTTAATTATATGATGTTGAATTTGATCCTTACAGAATGCCCATCTTTTAAACCAGTCTTTAATTTTAATGGTTTAGGTAAAAGATATCTTTCTATATTGAGATACTTTCTAATATTATATAGAAATTTAATGTCTCTTTGGATGAAACAGGCAGATTCTCCAATTCTTGGTCTTACAGTGATGGGTGAAGGTCGTGTAGCTGTGTATGGGGATTCTAATTGTTTGGACAGTAGCCATATGGTTACTAATTGTTATTGGCTTCTGAAGAAAATACTTGATTTTACTAATGGAGATGTCAGGGATCCTGTGCTTTTCTCTGATTCAGTTAAACGAGATACTCCATTGTATGAAGATGACAATCAATTGCCATCTCGCAGAACTGATGTCAATTTCTCTATATATTCCGCTGTTGCGGGGAAGGAATTGATCTGCAGGACTGACTCAAGGTTTGAAATATGGGGAACTAAGGGCTACAATTTGCAGGTTAGAGGAAGAAACAGAAGATTGCCTGGTTATCCTGTGATTGATTTGGGGAGAGGTTTCAATGCAACCCTTGATACTTCTAAGATAAGGCATCAGGAATTAGCTGTGAGAAATAAGGGTGACTCTCTTGGGAACAGGTACTTGGGCCTGTTCTATGGGGATGAGGTAATAATAAGAAATAGAAACAGTTGTTTGGTTTGGTTCCTTTGTGATGTAGTTCCCTTTATCTTGTTCTGTGTGTTTGTGATTTATCTTGGTCTATGTGTTTGTAATAATAATTCAGATGCTGCATATTGCTGATATTCTGATTCTTTGATATTTCTTGCAGCTTGATGCACCTATGCTTATTGGTAGTCAGTGGCTTGTTCCTGCTGTAGTTGCAGCAACTGGTTTGTAAACAACAGACATTAAATTTCCCATCCAAGTTTAAACTAGTGTATCTTCATGTTTCATTACCTTTATTTTTCTTTTATTGCAGGTATTTTGCTGTTGTGTTTTTGGCGCATTCGCCAAAAGCAACGTAGACGAAGGAAAGGATCAGGCTCTGGTAGATTGGCCAATTTATAGTTCATTACATTGCTGATTTATTTATTGTAACAATAGCCTCTAAAGAATTTTTTCTGTAGCATAGTCAGTGTGGTAGTAGAAGATAGCCACAGACAAGTTGCCTTTTTTGTCCCTATAATTACCTTTTTTTTGGTGGATGCTTTTCAATCAGATAATGAAATTGTGTATCAAATTACACATAACCGTTTATCATTTAGCTTTTCTTTTTTATTAAAACAAAATGTTTGGGTCCATATGCAATTAAACAGTAGATTACAATTACCCTCTCAGTAGATTGGTATATAAAATCTAGAGTTCGTTCTGAATAACAGCATTTGACAGAGGGACTAGTCGTCTAAATTAATGGTTAAATATCTAAATCCGTGTTACTTACAAAATTACAAATACTCAGTATGTGTACTTTTTAGTTCATAAACTGTGTGTGTGTACTCTTTAGTTCAAAAACTACTGAATTACAAATACTCAATATGTACTATTTAGCTCAGTAAAATTGAAACAAGATTTGTATGCCTTTCTTGTATATACATTTTAGCATAATGTGGCAGGAGGCCAAGATAGAGTCTAATTGCATGGCATGAGAATTGTGATGAATATGACATGATTCTGTATTTTTGAGAGCATAGATAGTATCTATGCATTTGTTGTATAAGCCTATATATATTTGTTTAGAAGAACATGTATAGGGTTGATTTGTTGTAAACATTGAATGCCATGGTGCATTGATTTAATGAAGCAAATAATTATATTGATATTAGAGGTATGAGATGTATGAAAGAACCTAAGCAATGGATTGATTGCTAGGCAATATGATTTTTACCATATAAGATTGTACGAATCCTATGGAGTTTAATGCTAAATTATGTGTCCTATGAGTATGGGAAGGTTCCTTACATTGCAAGTGCAGCCAAGAGCTGTCAAGTGTTAATGTTGACAAATACGGTCGACTTAGAATGTCCATACCTCTATCGTTCCTTAACGAAATGAGTTGTATTTTATATCATTTTAAGGCCCCAGGAGTCTAGTTTCTTGTCTTCGAGTTTGAGAATTATTTAGGCAGAGAAACGTTTCCAGTTTTGGTTAAAACAGAAGCTTCCCGAAAATTTGAAATATTAAAACTGAAAGAGTTATTTTGCGAGGGGACGAAAGCGTCTTTTGCTCAGGGGAGAGGAACATCTTCTGTTCAGGTGACGGGGACGTCTCTTATTCAGGGGATGGGAACGACATATAGGAACGCGTGATAGAACGTCTGATCATATTAGACACTGAAAGATGAAAATTATATAAGTTCCTGAAATATGAATTTTGTTGGTTCAATTAATTCTTGATGCCTTTAACTCATGGACTAATTGACCGACAAAATGCATATTTTAGAGACTTCTATGTGATAATTTTTATCTTTTGAGGACTAATATGATTGATGTTATAGCTTTCAAGCACTAGTTTGGCTATTTACTCTTCTTGAATGAAACTCTTACTCCTTAGTTTATCTTTAGTTGTATTAAGCATTATTCACTTCAATAACCTTCTTTCTGCAAGGTAGAAACCCTAACATGTACTAAATTAATTGTTTGTCATCCAAAATGTAAATTAATTGATTATCATCCAAAATGCTTAGAGGTGAATTGTATCATACAAAACTGCTTAATTATAATTAGGATGGAATTACAAACCGCTACATTGCCATACCAGAACTTAGCCCTGTTTGAAGCAGGGACATAGAACATAGTTTCTGCCAAAACACCACATTCTCCTCCAGAATCCATGTTCTGATAAAAGGATCCTGTCCCAGGCCAGTCTCGCTCATGGTTTCCACTGTAAGGACAACAGCAGCATAAGATTTCCATGTCATTTAAAAAGAAAAAAGAAGAAGCACTACTTCCTTGACTAATTTTTGGGTTAAGCTATTAAAAACCTTGCAATCATGTAAGGCACAGCTGATGCAATTGGCTCAACCTGTGCTGTAAACTGATCCCACTGAGAAATGTATCCATTTGCATAACATATATCTCCAATATGGAAAACCATGTCAATGTTTTCTAAGTCCTGGATAAGCTGCTTGGTAGTGTTAATGGAGCCCCGTTGGAAATTGTTGTATTCATTGGAACCATCCACTTCATCCTGCATGGTGAAATATGTATCAAATACTCAAAGAGAATTGCAAAATAAAAGGGTTATGGTTCACATTGAGGACACAATAGGGTCTCAAACCTTCCCCATATCACCAAATATGACTACACGTTGTAAAGACTTCTGCCCAGGAAAGGGAGCTGATCTAAACTGATAGGTTTCGCTCCAAATGTATGTACCATTGTTTAATTTGTGTCCTATCTTGTACTCATATCTGCACAATCCACAGCAAGCACAATCAACATTGATTCTATTTAATTGAACAACAATCATGACATCATTATAACAGACTCACTAATTTTAAATAGAAAAGATGACGCAACACAATAGGTTTCATTCTAGTTAGGAACTCAATAACAACAAAAATAGTTTATTTATTTTTACAACTATTGTTAAGGCCTAGAAGAAACCTATAGCAGATAATGACAATTCAAAAAAATTATTTGCACCTTTAGTCATTTTATTCAGATAATGACATAAAAGAAACCTATAGTGGTCCAATCTGATATGTTGTCATTTTATTGCACCAGGAAGCCATACGTAATGAGTGTGTTCAGTTATTTCAATTTCGATTGTTCAACAGTTGCAAGCAACCTGTGGTGGCCCAACCAATTGGCAACAAGGTATAGATGCTCTAACCAAAGATGTAGAAAACAAAATAACAATAAGCCGGTACAATTGATATAATGGTGAGGAATAATAGGTTCCAACCTCATTGTAAAAAAAAAAAAAAACAACAAAATAGACAGTTTTCAAAATAGACATTTCATATGTACCTCACAAGCTATTGAACCCGTTCAAAGCACAGATGTAACAGAAGAAATTTTTTCCAGTAAAATAAAATCATTTATTGTGTCAGATGCATCCAAACAATAGAATAAACGCGAAACATACGAATAAAGTTTAGTTTGTAATATTTTAAGACATAAAAAAAAGTGTACACAAGAAATAATCATTTGTAGGATTTTTATTTTTTGCGACAAAAAATAGTATACTTAATGTGTATGTGTATTAGCTTATTTTCTTTATCACAATTTTTCAAAGAGAATTTAAAAAATATGATTATTTTCTCATTTTTAATCTGAACCAAAGACGGGCCTCATACGATTATATAAAATGCTTACTTAATACTTACAGTACAGTACACTAAGCATGCATGGGGATAATTTAATTAAAAAGGAAAAAGAGTTTGTTATTTTAAATGACATAAGGTTATGTCATTTTAAGAGAGAAATAGACACAAAATAATTTTTTTAATTTAAAATTTAAATTAAAAAAAACCATCAACTTTCTCATGATTTTCATTTTCTTGTCTCTATCTCTCTCCTAAAATGACATAACTTATGTCATTTAAAATGACAAACATCAAACTCAATTAAAATTTTTTATATCTAAATATATACCTAACAAATATCAATAAGCGGCATAATATTTTTTTTTACCTTTTGCGTGTTATCTAATAAATGGAATTTATTAGAGATATCACGTATAAAAAAAATCATTCATTTATTTTTACTCAACAACTTTTTTTTTTGGTAAATTACTCAACAACTTTAACTAGTACTAATTCATAATATAGTATTATGTCTTTAGAATAAAATAATTTAGAATTCAATCATTGGTACATAAGTTTATGATTGTCCATCCTCTATTAGGCCATGTTTGATTTAAATTTGAATTATTTTGTAAAAATAACTCCCCAAATAATGATCATTTTTTAGTTTTTGAAACTAAAATTGAAGAATAACTTAAAGATACTTTCATAATTTTGTCATTTTTGCGATAAAAAATGTATAATTATAAAAATTTATTAATATTTTTATTAATAGCACCTTTATAAATAAATTTACTTTTTTAATTTTAAATCCAACTCTATTCAAATAAGTTTTTTTTTTAAAAAAAAAATTTATATTATAAAATAATTTTGACGATTTGTATTATAAAAAACATAAAATAAATTTCAAACATACCTAATTTTATATTTTAAAGACTTGCTTTGTTTGGATCTGAGCCCTGTTCTGGGATCAATTTGTTCTAGAGGCTTGGGTTCCAAATTTTTGCACTTCTCGAGGCTGTTTGGTAGAAGATTATTTTTAGATGCGTAGAAAAATAAGGGTGAGTTTTCTAGAATCTCATGTTTGATAGCACATTGGAGAAATTTTTTCTGAGAAAGTTATTTTCTGGATTTCGTGTTGTGTGTATTTTCTAAATCAAAATACCACCAAAAAATAACATTAGAGGGTGGTATTTCAAGAATCTCAGATGATAGGAAAATATGGATTAATTTTTCAGATAAAAATAACCAAACTTATTATTAGGAAAATTAACTCAATATTTTCGGAAATATTTTAGCTTGCCAAAGACCTTTTTGGTAATATTTTCGGAAAACTCACTTTCACATCATATTCCAGGAAATTGTGATTTCCAGACAAAAAAAATTTCTCTTCTACCAAACACACTCTAATATCAATCCCAAGTAAGGATGGCAAAGCGGGTTGCCTGTCCTGCCCCGCCCGTGCCCGCCATAAGCTCGCCAAAAAGCGGGCTGGCCCGTCCCGCCCCGCATGTGAAAGTGGGCAAGAAAACTCAGCCCGTCCCGTCCCGTTAGGGCGGGTGGGGCGGGCTGCCCGCCAAGCCCGTCAAATTTTACACTAAAAAAAGAAAAAGAAAAACTAAAAAATCCAGCCCATGCGGGCTGGCGGGCAGGGCGGGCCGGGCCGGCGGGCTGAGCCCGTATTGCCATCCCTAATCCCAAATTTGTCATCAATGCATCCATGGTTCTAATGTGTATTATAGTCTCTTTCTTCGTAATTGGGCTAAGGCCCAAAAATTTGTGATTGTTGACATTTTTCACTAACATTTTATTTTGGGAAATTATATCCTTCATGTTATATGAATCAAATTTTTTGTCATGTTAAAAAAAAGACAAGGTATGTAATATTAAAAAAAGTGAATGGGAACTTTATTTAATGAATTGCTCTTGTCCCTTTCTTACCATATAAAAGATTTGATTCCTACAATGAGATGAATGCA